CCGAAACTTGGGTTAATGCACTTGATGGCAGGGAGTTTTTAGGTCAGTTTTCTTGATGGCAGGGAGTTTTTAGGTCAGTTTTCTTGATGGCTTTCATTGGTGTCTATACGAATAAAAATTCTGTTCGTCAAATTCTATGTCTCCTCCATGTCCATCAATCACATAAAACCGCCTCATCACTTTATTGAGAAGAGAATAAAAAGATGAATTACTTAAATTTATATTTAAATAAAATAAAATTGGATGCTAGCAACACACACATACATATATGGGGGCGATTCAAACGAGAAGGCGAACTATTAATGAAAAAGAAAAAGGTCGTTAATGTACAAAATCATATATGATTCACGTACAAAATCATACATGATTCACACTTATATATTCACGTATAGAATCATACTAGTTCAGAAGTCGTCCGCTTCCATTTTTTGAAGTTAATGTAAAATCGCATGTGAGTTTGTATATTAACGATCTTTTTCTTGTTTTCTTAAATAGTTAGCGTTCTCGTTTGAACCTTCCACCCCCCTCTCTCTTTCTCTCTCTCTCTCTCTCTCTCTCTCTCTCTCTCTATATATATATATATATATATATATATATATATTCAATGTGTTAATCTAGTTAAGTTTTGTGCTCCTTACGACTGCAGGGGGCACCAAGCCTAATGTGGCTGACCTTGCCGTGTTTGGAGTATTGAGACCCATTCGTTATCTGAGATCAGGTAAGGATATGGTTGAGCACACACGAGTGGAGAATGTTGTTGGTGCATCTTCAAGGATACAAACCTAATTTTCATGTTGTATTCATCTTGAAGGCCAAGTGATATGCAAGAAGCAAAGTATATATACATTTTTGTCTTCCGTCTTGACTAAGTCGTGTTGAAAAACTTCAAAGTTAATTTTGTTGCTATGAATTCGTAGCATGAAACGAGTTGTATTGCGATTCCTTTGCTGTACAGGATGATGACCAAGGCCACATGTAGGTTGGGATAGAGAAATAATAGAATACCAATCGGGGGTGAGAGGATACCTCAAAACTATGTAGCTTGTGATTGAATGAGAGTAGTACCAGATTGGATATATTTTTGGATAGTCCTCGTGGTGCACCCCTTTTTTGTCTCTTTAGAATGAGAAATGTCGAACAAGAGAACTTTGATCCATTGGGGGTGGAGGTAGAAACCTTTATGTCACACTTGTTTTTGCTATTGCATTCTAGGGCTTGTTTGGTTTGTTTTTTACAAGCCCTGTATTGGATGAAATCGTTTGTATAGGTTGTGTAGGTTTTTCA